GTCCTGGTCCGGTACGGGTGCGACACTGAGGGTTGCGATCCGTTGCCGGACACGAAAAAAGACAAAAAAAAAAAAAAGAGCCATATGTAACCAGTGGCTATAAGTGTGTGTATGTGTTGGGGGCTTGGATAAGTGAAGGATGAGGCTGGATTAGGCAAGGACTGCGCCCTCTTTCCATCTCAAATCACTCCACACTTTTATATAGTTTGGATATTGGAGTTGCATGCAACACTTGAAAGAAGTGTTCTAGTGATTTTACAAAATTTAATAACCCCTAATGTCACAGAAAAAAACCCTGGAACTGGCAGCAGAAAAGCCTCATTCAAGCCAGGCAGGTCACTTTACCGCTTTGAGTCTGTTTTTGCATCTGGAAAATTGGAATTTAATAACCCCTACTCTGTATCTTACACTCCTGTGAGAATAATATATGGCAGCATCTTTGAAGGCACCTTAGAAAGTGCAATATGAAAATGTGGTTAATTTAGCTTATAACTCAAATGATTGCATCCCTTTTTTTTCTCCCCAAAAAAAAAAAAAAAAAAAGTGCAATATAAAGGTATTGTTGTCGTTATTATTATTTTTATTATTACCTTTGCAGAACCAGAAAGACCCCGGAGTCCTTGATCGCATGATGAAGAAACTGGACCTGAACTCTGATGGGCAGCTAGATTTCCAAGAATTTCTTAATCTTATTGGCGGCCTGGCCGTGGCTTGCCATGACTCCTTTCTAAAGGGTACCCCTTTGGTCAAGCATCCCTGAGGCCCCCTGGTATCCCAACCCACCCCTTCCTCCCAGGCTCCCAGCTGTCTCCCCACACAGCCCACACCTGCCCTGGGCCCAGCACACCACCACGCCATGCAGCCACTCCTACTGGTAGTAATAAAACAATGTGGTTTTTTTAAAACACACACTGGAGAGTCAGTAAATTTGTGCAAGGGAGGGAGGAGAGTGGGAGGAATGTAAATTAGACTGATGGAAGCCGTTACCAGAAGCTGCATAGTAAATAGTAGAAATGCATCTTGTATGTACATATAATGATGACTAATGATACAACCAGGATCATCTCTAAATTACTGACTAATGGAGAGATGTCATTTGTTGTCCCTATTCACTCATTAAATATCCATGCCCCTCACCCACCACTGACACTGTCATAGGCTCTGAGGACACAGTTGGCAAGACAAACCAAATCCCACCTCCTTCCCTAAGCTCACTGTCTATTGGGGGGAGAAAACAATGAATGAATAACAAAGGACTATCACAGTGTGACAAATCCTAGGAAGAAAAGATAATGAGGTGGTATGTTACAGATTAACAGGGGCAGCAGGGGGACACTGTCTGAGAAGATGACGTTTGTTCTGAGATCTGAAGGACAAGAAAGAGCAAACGTAATAAGATGGAGTAGGGCATTTCAGGAGAAGGAACAGGAAGGGCAAAGGTCCTCAGGTGAGAAGGAGCTGGGATGTCTGAGGCATGGAAAGGACATTAATGTTACCAAGGTCTGTGTGTTTGGACTATAGATTTCCTTATTTATAAATCCTCTTCTAAAGCTACAGGGAGAGACCCTACAAAGAAGGTAAGAAGGCTGACCGAGGGGTAAAGATAACATTAGAAAGAGAAGCATGTTTTGAAATCATCCCTAAGAAGCATGGGGGAAAAGTGTTTCCAGAAAACTTCTGATTCCTTATCCATCTATGTGAGTTTTAACTAATGAGCAAAAATCCCTGGATCACAGTTACTTCCTTCATAAATTAAGTAGAATAGATCAGACCATGTCTGAGGTAGTTTTGGGCTCTGACATTGCAGAATGAAGGCCAGTGCCTCAGGCTAGCAAGTTCCAAACTTTCAGTAGAATTGAAGCTACCTCTTGGGTGAGTAACTTAATTCACTGGCAGCACACAGGGGGAAATCTGTAGTCAGTGAAAGTTTCCATATTCCTTGGTAGGTGCACCCTGTACAAAGAAAATGTGCTATTATCTCAAAGAACAACAAGCCAGGGAAGAGATGGAAAACATCAGGCACCCTAAGCATACCAGTCTATCTGCTATTCTACCAAGAAATCACTGGCCCTGGTTTTAAAGACATCAGGGTACAACTGGGAAATCTGCTTGCTTGGCACCCTCAGGTTTTGATTAGAAGTTAAGAGCCAATCCGTACCAAGCTTCTAATTCAAGATTCAAACCTCTATGGAGTGCCTCCTGTAAGCAGAGAGTAATGGAAAGACATCCACAGGAGAGGTAGGTTTGGGGAGAAGGTGATGGGCTCAGTGAGGGTGTGTTGTGTTGGAGGTGCCACTAGGAAGTCTACAGACATTTGCATTTGCAATTTGAGTCTGGAGAGAAGACCTAGCTTAAGAAGCAGAGAGAGAGAGAGGGCCAGGGGCATGTCCACAGTAGGAGACAGCAAGAGGAGGAGACTTCAGCACAGAAGGGAGCAGAGTCTAAAGAGGTCGGAGACAAAGCAGCAGAGTTGACAGGCGAAGGAGAAGAGAACGTGATTAGGAAGGAAGTGCTGATAAACCACACCCAGCAACTGCTGTCCTTTAGATGCTACTACTCCTTGGGTCCACATGCAAACCTCCTCAATCCTCATACTCTCGCTAGTGCTCTCGTCCACTCCTGTGTCCTCATTTACTACTAAAGGCCAATGACCACTCACATTTATGTCCTCAACCTAGTTCTAGCTCCTAAGCTAGAAAGCAGTCAAAGCTGCCTTCTAGACTTTTCCACATAAAATAATACTCGCTAGTGCTCTCGTCCACTCCTGTGTCCTCATTTACTACTAAAGGCCAATGACCACTCACGTTTATGTCCTCAACCTAGTTCTAGCTCCTAAGCTAGAAAGCAGTCAAAGCTGCCTTCTAGACTTTTCCACATAAAATAATATAAGTATCTTTTATGTATTCATGTATTGAACAAAGTTTTACTGATAACATGTAAGAAACTGTTCTGTGTATTGGGCATACAGGAATGAACAAAGCAGAGAAGATCTTGTCCTCAAGAAGCTTGCATTCTCAGCATCATATCCCAAACTGAGCTTACCATCATCCTAGCACCCCAGGCCCTTCAGTGGGCTCCCCAGTGCTCCTGGGTATGTAAGGCCAGAAACAGTCCACCCCCTCCTGGCTCACCAACTCATCTTACCTCCCCCTCCCACATGCACCCTCTAAATTCCAGCCACACTGAGCTTGTTTATCTCCTTCAACATACAGGGCTTCTCTCACCTGCAGGTCTGAACCCTCCATCTGGAGCACTGTTCCTACCCTCACCACACGGAGCCACATACATCATTCCCACTTATCCTTCATGTCCCAGCCTAAATGGCTTTTTCTCTAGGAAACTTTGCTAAATTCCTTAGCTGAGGTAAGGCAGCCCTCCCATGTGCTATCATGCCCTGTGCCTCCCACTCACAGCACTTACACTAACTGATCGTCTGTACAGGTAAAGAGGGTCTGCCTTGTTTACTGTTGTATCCCCATCCCCTGGCACAGTGTCTGGGACATCATAGACTCAGATATTCACTGAGTGATTGAATGGTCAGGAGGGAAGAATAAAAGCCTGTTGAGCTCGTGACTAGTAAGGGAGAAGCTTCAGCAGGATGGTGAGGGCAAGTGTCAGAATGCAAGGGGTTTAGGACTGCGTGGTAACAAGGGAAAGAGAAGATTTGGGTGTAGACACATAAAAACTGCAGTAATTTTGGCCAGAAGGAAATCTAAGTCAGCAACTTGAGGGTGTGGAAGTGTTGAAGGAAGAGTCTTTTGTTTTAATTTTTTGGTTGGAGACAGAGAATGTTTATAAGAAGACAATAAACTTGAGAAGATTAAAAATGTTTGAAATAGCTGTTACATGGATTGTTAGGGAATCCACCAGAAGGTACTTTTAAAAATTACAACTGTGTGTGTTAACTGCCTCTGGCTGTGTAACAAATCACCACAAACTTAATGACTTCAAACAACACAATTTTAGTGTCTCACAGTTCCTGTAGGTCAAGAATCTGGGCATGGCTTAGCTGGGTCCCCTGCTTCAGGGTCTCTTATAAGGTTGCAGTCAAGGCGTCATCCAGGGCTGGGATCTCATCTGAGGCTCAACTGGGAAGAACTGCTCCCAAGATCACATGGTTATCGGCATGGCTGTGAGACTGGACTTCAGCTTCTAGCTGGCTGTTGGTCAGAGGCCACCCTCAGTTCCTTGCCATGCCAGCCTCTCCAGGCTTGCTTCATTAAAGCGTGCAAGCTGAGAAGATGCTAGGAGTCAAGATGAAAGACACAGTTCTATGTAATCAAAGCATGGAAGTGACATACCATCACCTTTGTTGTATTCTATTTGTTAGAAGCAAGTCATAGGTCCTGGTCACACTCGGGGGAGAGTATTACACAAGAGTATGAATATGAGCAGGTGGGGATAATTGGGGACCATCTTAATGTCTACCCACCAAAGATATGTAGCAAGACTCAACTCACTGGGAGTAAGGAAAGCTCTGAGATTAGAAACGCTGACATCTTGCGGAACTGGAAGGGCCAGTGCGCTCACTGGCTGAGCGTGGTGCGGACCACAACGCGCCAAGGGTTATGACCCCCTTACCGGTCAGGAAAAAAAAAAACAACCCACATTTTCCTCCCTAATTACCAACATTCACTAGTAAAATTTAAAAAACAGAAAAAGCTTAAAGAAAGTGAGAATAACTCAGAATCACCAACCAATGTTAATTATTTATAATTTGATGTATTATCTTCCAAATGTATAACTTTTTCCCAAAATTTGATACTGCTTTTTGTCAACTATTGTATAATGAACATTTCCTCATAACATTAAGAAATTATGCAAAAAGAAAACTAAAAGAAAGTGAGCTGAGATGCCGGGTACCGTTCAAGCTTTATTAAAGAAAGAAATCTGAAAGGCTGTGCTCAGAGTGGCAGGCAGCCCGGGGATGCCCTGAAAATGGGGGACAGCACCAGGTGTGGGGTGGTAGAGCTTATATAGGGCACCAAGGGCTGGCTGATTGTTGGGGACCTATAGCCCCACACCCCTTCTTGTGTGACCAGGCCTACGTGACAATCTGCTTATGTCAGATGTCTGTGCTTATGGGATATCTGCCTCATAATCTGTGCCTGGGACGCTATGCTCCTGGCTATGCAAGTCTACTCAAGAGTGACCTCTTATCTCCTTTCAAGTTTCTGCTTTCTTGTAAAGATTGGGGGCTTCTTTGCATCAGAGATTTTCTGACTTTGTTTCTTCTCAAGATCTTATCGTATTCCCTCATTCCTAACTCCTTACAATATGCTTGCTTTTTCCTATATAAGATGTAACTTAAGAATCAATAAACGAGACTTGATCAGAATACTGTCTTGTCTCCCATCTCTCGCGTCTCTTGTCCCATCCAATTCCCACTCCCCCCTCCAGGGTCTGCGTTGAATATCCCGCGGGTCGGGACAGAAGAAAGTTACAAGGATACAAGGGGTCTTCAAAAAGCTCATAGAAAGATTTGTATTATCTTCTAATTCCATTTTTCCATGAACTTTTTAAAGCACCCTCATACCTTCCCTAACCCCCATAACCTACCTTCCTTCTTCCCATCACTTGACAAACTTCTCAAAGGAGTAGACTACCTGTATTGCCTTTCCTTCCTAATCTACCTTTTTAAAAATCTCCCCCCAGTGATTTTGATACAAGTGGTCTACAGACCATACTCTGGAAAAGTCTTTCTACTCATTTTGCCTTGGTAACCTCCAAACTCATGGCTATTGCTGATGACTTATAATTCGATATCCCCAGCTCAGATTTCTTTAGAACTTCTAACTCATTTTTTTTTTTTTTTTTTTTTGGCAGCTGGCCAGTATGGGCATCTGAACCCTTCACTTCGGTGTTACAAAGCTGCACTCTAACCAACTGGGCTAACTAGCCAGCCCTATCCTAACATCTCTACCCGGCTGTCCCACAGCTAGGATTCTTCTTGTTGCAAGTAATAGAAAACTCAATTTAAATTGTTTTAAGCAAAAGCAGGAACTTATTAACTCATGTAACTGAACAGTCAAGGGATAGCTTTTAGCTTTAACACAGTTCTAGGAGCTGGTATCTTTCTCTAAATTCCTTGGCTCTGTTTCTTCAGTGTTAGCTCCATTCTTATCTCTCTTCCCTTTGGACTTGAGATAGCTATTGGCATTTCTAGGGCTACACCCTCTCAGATTAAAACTGGGGTGGATCTCTACCCAAACTGAGAGAACCAAGAGATGGGGAGAGTGGATCAGGGGTTGTTTCAGGAAGAAGGGGAAATGGATGCTGCAAAAACAAGGAACACACATCACAAATACAATGTGTTTTAAACTAGATTCCACATCTTTCTCCCAGAACCTGACCCTCTTGCTTCATTCCTGATTTCAGTGAATTGCAGCATCAACCACCCGACTGCCCAAACCAGGAACCTGGGAATAGTCCTGGACTTCCCTTTCTCACCATGACATCCAAACTGTCATCGTTACTTGGGTTTTACCTTTGCATACTCATCCCCTCCTCTCCACCCTCATTTTCTTATTTTAGACTCTTAACCTACCCACTTAACCATCTCTTCACTCCCTCTATTAAAAAAAAAAATGCTGACTGATGTCCATAAAACCAAGAGTGTCCAGGGCTAACAGGTAACTAGTAGTCCATACACTGTATGCCACCCCCCAGGGGAATTACATATTCACTAAGAGTATATTTGTGATTGGTCCCAAACCTGTTTATATCAGTTGTTCCTGTCATGTGTAATTTCATTAAAATATTCCAAAAACCAACAAAATATGGGTGCAGAAAGATAGTTTTTGTCTTTATGAAAGCCACGTTGAATTCTTTTCAAAGACCTGATAAGAGAAATTCACTGAAGATAACTGCAGTTGATGTAAGTGTAGCTGAGACAACTGTAAACAACTGGGGAAAAAACTCATAAAAATCTAGAAATACCTTTTACTCAGATTGCCTCGCAAGTATCTCTAAATTCTCCACTAAAAATAAAGTGTGGGAGCCTGGGGGGCGGCTGGCCAGTTAGCTCAGTTGGTTTGAGCATGGTGCTGATAACAACACCAAGGTCAAAGGTCCAGATCCCTGTACCAGCCAGCTGCCCCCCCACACACACACACAAAAAAAAAAGAAACTGAAAATCATCATGAGTTTGATTTCTGCAAGATAGGTAATATAGCAAAATATTGGTAAATGTACATTTTTTAAGTTAAAGTAAATTTTAAAAATATCATTTTTATGAATACCCATTTTAACCAATTTTTTTTTATTAACCAAGCCTACTACTGTTCCTACCCTTCAGAAAAAAGGGTCTCTACCATTCCGCAATAACTCTCTTATTCTTCTCCCTGTCCCCAATTTGACCTCTTCCACTCCTTTCTTCTCCCTTTAACTAAGGAGAGTTCTTACAGGCAAACTTGCTAGTGTCGCTCTTGGGCACTGGTTCCTCTTAACAAGCAGTATAGAATCCATATCCCCTGGGGAACTCAAGAGCCTCGGTGGCCCACTCCCAGCCCACCTCTCCAGACTCACTTTCTGCTTCTCTCTAGCCTTGCCAAACAAAGCTAGAACTGATGCTGCAGTGACATGCCCCCGTCCTCTGATGCATGCCCCTGAAAGCCCCCTGCCCCTTTCCACCTGTTCCTACTTATCATCATCTCCTCCAGGAGGCCTCCCTAAAACCCCTACCCAAGGCAATTTTAATGCTCTTATGCTACACCCTCCAGATCTCTGTTCTTACCTCTATCGCAGCTCTTACCATATTGTACTGTAATCATGTTTTCACTTGTCTGTCTGCCCCGACTTGACTTTGAGCTCAAGAACAGAGACGTAGTTAAATGCATCTTTGTACTGCTAGTAAATTAATGTGGTACCCAGCATACAGTAGCAAAAAAAAAGAAAAAGAAAAAATAATTTGTTGAATTGAAAAAAAATGTTGAATGAATACACGATAGATAATTCTATAAATTCAAACTTAGGACATACTCTGTGTATCAGTCAGGTTCCCCACAGGAAACACGTGTACACTCAAAGGGGTCACTGAAGAGAGTTTAAGGAAAGGACTATTTATAAAGGTGTAGGCAGGGATAAGGGAATAAGATGGCAAAGCACCAGGACTAGCAAAATTAGGAAGCTGTTCCCAACTCTAGGCCCAACTGGACAAAACAAGGGAGCAGTTCCTGGAATTCAGCAACAGCTGTAGCCAAGGGAGAGGAGTCTTTCACAGATGCTGTCAAACCACAGACTGGCAGGAGGGAGCCAGGGAATAAATGCCCATTTCTTTCTCTTCTCCCCTTCTCATCTCCTGCAAGTGCCTTCCATTGGCCCACCCAACTGGAAGGTTGAGCAGGTCAGAGAAGCAGAGAAAGTAGGGCTGGAGGTGCAAACAGAACATCCAGCATGCTGTAGAGAGGTGAGACTGGTACTCCCCTTCCACACAGTTACACCTGCCTCAGAGGAAAGCAGGGAATAAAGTGCCAGCACTAATTCAGGTAGACTCTTTTTTTAGTATGTTGTCTTAATTTATTGAAAACCATTTTTCATTTTTTTTATTTGTGGATAAATATATAGCATGTAAAATTTAACTTTTTTTTTTTTTTTGGTGGCTGGCCAGTAAGGGGATCTGAACCCTTGATCTTGGTGTTATAACACCGCACTCTAACCAACTAATTTAACACTTTAACCATTTTTAAGTGTACAGTTCAGTGATTAAGTATACTCACATTGCTGTGTAGACATCACCATCATCATCTCCATAACTTTTTCATGTTCCCAAACTGAAACTCTATCCATCAGATAAAAGCTCCCCTTCTCTCCTTCCCTACCCTTTGGCAACCACCATTCTACTTTCTGTCCCTGTGAATATGACTACTCCAGGTAGCTCATATAAGTGGATCATACAATATCTGTCTATTTCTGTCTGGCTTATCTCACTTAGCTTAATGTCCTCGAGATTCATCTACGTTGTAGCATTTGTCAGAATTTCCTTCCTTTTTAAGGCTGAGTTATACACATACACACACACATATACACATATATGCATACACACACACATATA